TATCTTCCACATGAGTGAAATCATATGTTGTTTGTCCTTCTCTGTCTGGCTTATTTCACTTAACATAATACCCTCAAGGTCCATCCACGTTGCTGCAAATGGGACAATTTTGTCTTTTTTGTGGCTGAGTAGTGTTCCATTGTGTATATATATATACCACACCTTCTTTATCCATTCATCAGTTGTTGGGCACTGGGTTGCTTCCACAACTTGGCTGTTGTGAATAATGCTGCAATTAACATAGGAGTTCATAAGTCTCTTGGAATTGTTGATTTCAGGTTCTTTAGATAAATACCCAGTAGTGGGAAGCTGGGTCATATGGTATTTCTATTTTAAATTGTTTGAGAAATCTCGACGATGTTTTCCATAGTGGCTGCACCAGTTTGCATTCCCACCAGCAATGCATGAGGGTTCCCTTTTCTCCACATCCTCTCCAACATTTGTTGTTTTCTGTCTTGGTAATGATAGCCATTCTAACATGTATAAAGTAATATCTCATTGTTCTTCTTTAGCTTTTTGATGTTATGGATTACGTTAATTGATTTTTTAATGTTGAACCAGCCTTGTATACCTGGGATGAATCCTACTTGGTTGTGGGGTATAATTCATTTTATACACTGTTGGATTTGATTTGCTAATATTTTGTTCAGGATTTTTATATCTATCTTAATGAGAGATATTGATCTATGATTTTCCTTTCTTGTAGTGTCTTTGTCTGCTTTTGGTATTAGGGTAATGCTGGCCTCATAGAATGAGAATGTATTTCCTCTGCTTCTATTTTCTGGAAGTGATTGTAGAGAATTGGTATAAGTTCTTCCTTAAATGTTTGGTAGAATTCACCAGTGAACCCATCTGTGTTTGGTGCTTTCTGTTTTGGAAGGTTATTAATTGTTGATTCAATTTCTTTAATAGATATGGGCTTATTCAGGTTATCTAGTTCTTCTTGCATGAGTTTTGGCAGATTGTCTTTCAAGGAATTGATCCATTTCATCTAGTTTATCAAATTTGTGGGTATAGAGTTGTTCATAATATTCCTATATTATCCTTTTAATGTCTGCGAGGTCAGTAGTGATGTTCTTTTTTTCATTTGTGATATTAGTAATTTGTCTTTTTTTTTTCCTTAGTCTGGCTAATGGTTTATCAATTTTATTGATCTTCTTTAAAGAATTAGCTTTTGGTTTCATTAATTTTCTCTATAGACATCTGCTCTAATTTTTATTTATTTTCTTCTGTTTACTTTGGATTTAATTTGCTCTTCTTTTTCTGGTTTCCCAAAATAGAAGTTAGATTAATAATTCTAGAATTTTCTTTTTCTAATATACACATTCAATGCTATAAATTTCCCTCAAAGCACTGCTTTCACTGCATTCAACAAATTTCTATAAGTTGTATTTTCAACTTCATTGAAAATGTTTTTCATTTCTCTTTAGACTTCTTTGACACATGTTATTTAGAATTGTGTTGATTAATCTCCAAGTATTTGGGATTTTCAAACTGTTATTAATTTCTAGTTTAATTCCATTGTGGTCTGAGAGTATACTTTATGTGATTTCTATTCTTTTTAAATTTGTTAATGTGTGTTTTATGTTGTCTTGATAAATGTTCTGAGTTGGAGAAGAGTGTATTATGCTGTTGTTGGATGAAGTATTCTATAGATGTCAATTAGACCAGTTGATTGATGGTGTTGTTTATTTCAACTATGTCATTACTGATTTTCTCCCTGCTGGACCTGCCTATTTCTGATAAAGGGCTTTTGAAGTCTCCAACCATAATAGTGGATTCATCTATTTCTCTTTGAAATTTTGTGAGTTTTTGTTTCATGTATTTTGCTGCTCTGTCATTAGATGCAAACACACTAAAGATCATTATGTCTTCTTGGAGAATTGGCCCCTTTATCACTTTGTAATGCTTCCTCTCTAACCCTGATAATTTTCCTGGCTGTGAAGTCTGCTTTGCTTGAAATTAGTTACTCCAGCTTTCTTTTGATTAGCGTTAGCACGGTATATGTGTCTTTCTCTCACCTTCTCTCTCTCTCTCTTCTTCCTTAGTCACATCCATTCCATTGATGACCCCATCAAAGGCATTCTTCATTTCTGTTAGTTTTTGATTTCTACAATTTCCTGTTAATTCTTAGACTCCCATCTCTCTGCTTACACATTATGCATCTGTTCTTGCATGTTATGCACTTTTTCCATTAGAGCTCCTAGCATATTATTTTAAACTCTCAGTCTGATAATTCCAACATCCCTGGCATGTATGAATCTAATTCTGATGCTTGCTTTGTCTTTTCAAACTTTCCTTCAGTCTTTTAGTATGCCTTGTAGTTTTTTTGTTGTTGTTGGACATGATACCCAGTTGTACTGGGTAAAAGAAACTCCAGTGAATAGGCCTTTGGTGATGTGGCAGTAATGTGGAGGGGGAGGGGAACATCCTCTAGTCTTTTGATTAGGTCTCAGTCTTTTAGTGATCATGGGCCCCTGGGATGTGACCTTCACAACTGCTTCTCAGTCTTCCTAACACACCCCTCCCCCATTTTGGTGAGATAGGAAGGCTAGAGGGAACTGGAGTTGGATATTTCCCTTAGCCCAGTTGGTTAGGCTGTTAAAACCCAGTGTCATTGGGCTCTAGTAAAATAGTTTCCTTTGAGGCCAAGCTTTTGTTAAGAACAGAATTTGGGAGCCATATTTCAAAATGTTAACTTTCCCCTCCCCCTGCTGGAAGCACAAGGAGAGGAGATTTTTCCCTGATATTCACTGTGAGAATCTGGTGGGGCTCCAGCAAGTAAAACTCACAAAAGTGTGCCCCGGCCTGGTCTCCAGCTTTTAACTCTCAAGTTAGTCCATGCTCAGTCTCCAGTCATTAGTCAATTACCCTTTAAGTATTCCTACCTGATGCTGGCTCCAGCAGTGGTTTCTCCTCCAGGTAAACTGTGATTCTGCGTATTTGTCTGTGTCTCAAATTTTCAGAGTGGTGATTTGCCCTGTGACCTCAATTCTCTCATAGATCAAAAAATAGTTGATTTTCAGTTTTTCAGCTTTTTTCTTTGTGTTAAGATGGGAGTTATGACTTCCAAGTTTCCTACATGTTGGACTGGAAACTGTTAAGTCCCTATGCTGTTTTTTAAGAAACTGCCAAACAATTTTCCAGACTGGTTTTACCATTTTACATTATACCAGCATTGTATGAGAGTACTAGTTTCTCCACATCTTGCCAGCATTTGGTATTGTCACTATTTTTTTATATTAGCTGTTCTATAGGTATGTAGTGATTTATCAATGTGGTCTAAATTTGTATTTCCCTAATTCATGGGTCCTAATGGCTAGTGATGTCAAATATTCTTTTCATGTGCTTATCTGCCATCCATATATCCTCTTTTTTTTTTAAAGATTTTATTTATTCATTTTTTTCCCCCCAAAGCCCCAGTAGATAGTTGTATGTCATAGGTTCACATCCTTCTAGTTGCTGTACGTGGGACTCGGCCTCGGGTTGGACGGAGAAGTGGTGCCTTGGGGCGTGCCCGGGATCCAAACCCGGGCCGCCAGCATCAGAGCGCACGCACTTAACCGCTAAGCCACGGAGCCGGCCCAGCCATATATGCTCTTCAGTGCAATGTCTTTTTATTCTTTTGCCATTTTCTAATTGGATTGTTTGCTTTTTTACTGTTGAGTTTTCACAGTTCTTTATATATTCCAGATATGAGTCTTTAGCCAGATGGGTGGTTTACAAATATTTTCTCTCACTCTGGAGATTGTCTTTATATCCTTTTAAAAGGATCTTTGGAGAGCAAAAGTTTTTAATTTTGATGAGGTCTAATTTATCAAGTTTTTCTTCTATGAATTTTTTGGTAAAAACTTCATCAAGAACTATATAATGGGTCCTGAAGAATTTCTGTTTTTTCCTAAAAGTTTTGTTTTACATTTAAATATGAACCTTTTAAGTTACTTTTAGTACAAGGAATAAGATTTAGGTGGAGGTTCTCTTTTTTTTTTTGCCTATGAAATCCAATTGCTTCCTCAGATAACTAAGTTTTATGAATCATCTGTATGACAAATTATCACTACTAGATGATCAGCTTGCTTTCCTTCTTGCTAAAACCAACCCATTGAAAATAGATTTTTTTTTTTTTTTTTTTTGATTGATCAATAATTTGGTTTTTTTTTTTTTTTTTTTTTACTGAGGAAGATTCGCCCTGAGCTAACATCTGTTGCCAATCTTCCCCTATTCTGTTTGTAAGCCGCCGCCACAGCATGGCCACTGACAGACGAGTGGTGTTGGTCTATGCCCAGGAACCGAACCTGGGCCGCTGAAGCAGAGTGCGCTGAACTTAACGACTAGGCCCCTTGGGCTGGCCCTAAAATACAGATTTTCAATTGGGGAAGAGGTGGGGTAGATTTATAATTTTTTGCAATTATAGGGGAGTATTTCAACTGAGACTTTAGGCATCTGGAACTCAGCATGAAAACATCAGAAGGTAGGAGAACAAAGCTACCCAAGACAGGGGTGGAAAGAAGAAAATGAGTTGAAAAAAACTAACTCCCCTCAATGCTACCCTTTTGCCTAGTGTTTAGATAATAGCAAACCCCAAGTTAAAAAAACAAAACAAAAAACTACACAATTTTCATGCAAATTATGCTAAGGCACAAAGCATACCTTAAATCAGTGTTTCCCAAACTGTAGTCATCTGTGGATTACCTGAACAAATTTGCCATATCTGCATATAATATGTACTACTTCATGATTTTTGATTTACTCAGGAACAATAACCATGTGAAGTATTAAAAATAAAACCAAGACTCATATCACACTGTGATCTGCATTATTTTCCTACATAGGTTTCACGTCAAATCTCTGCTTGATGTTACTGTGAGAAATCTGGATCCCTACCTACTATTCTCATTAAGCATCAGACTGAAGTATCAAAATGTTGCCCTAGTGGCTGGTGGAAAAGAACACGGGTGGGTAGTTGGGAGTGGAATAAATGATACTCTCTAAGTAGCAATATTCACATTTTTATTCAGCAGTATAAAATATATGTAGTCAACATTGTTACTTTCATTTGCAAATGGCAGAGTTGGGAAGTATAAAAACCTCTACTTGACTTTTTATCAAGATCATCTACCACTGAATTACTCACGTCCAGGCTTCTGCAGGTCTGAAATTTTTTTCCCACTGGATAGGAGCAGAAATGAGAATTCCAGTTGATAATATTTTTATTTAAAAAAAAGAAAGACTCAGCATAGTCAAGTTGTTTTAGTCTTAAGGATTTCTGGATTTCGTCCTTGGAGGAGATCAGGATCTTCCCAAGGCCTGGGTCCTCGAATATTCTTCCAGTCATCAAAAGCGGAGTCCTTTATTTTCTATAGAGCCACAAAAATTAAAGTATATATATTAGTGTAGGAGCCCTGTGGCTTTGATTAGGACATCACTGAATGAATGAATAAATAACTGAGTAGACAGAATCCAACAGGCCCTCAATTATAATTTTAATAAATAAATCAACTGCATATCAAGCATAATAATTGAAGAAATGTTTCATATGAACATTTGAATAAATGTTCATATTTCTTAGGATTTGGAATTTTTCTTGCTTGCTATTGATGTTAATGCCTATCTTTTCCCCTTAAGAATAAAAGTATTAAAACAGAAAAAGAGTCTACATGCTTTATTTTTGAGAGCACAAAGAAAGGGAAGAAACTGGGAAGACAAAAGTCCAACTCCTGAGGCTGATCCAGCATAATAATGACCAGCACAGGTTAGCATGGGTGACGGTAATAAATGAGAGGAAAAGAACAAAGGTGGAGACCCTGAAGTCTGCTAGAAGGAAGAAAAGAGAACAAGATGATTTGTCCTGCACCTGAGAAATGGGCCTGGGCTTAAGAATAAGAAGACTCTCCATAGCTGCCAGGAGCAAAGTCCCTTTGGGCAATAAAAACTAGCTTCAACTCCAGTTTGCATCATCCACCTTCAGTTGGTGTGAAGTGTCTCTCAAGCACAGGAAGGAAGGCAGGACAAAAGAGAACACAAACGTTTCTTCACCCTCTGACACCACCCTGATGGTAACTTTCATAGATCTTCATTCATTTTCATATAAAAAATGAACAAACTATAAGAGATGGAGAACACCCTCCCTTCACTACATCCTATGATACAATGTGCTGTTAAAGTCTTTATTTTTGCTAACCAGATGGGTGTAAAATGACACCTTATTATAATTTTAACTGACATTCCTATTATAAGTTGAGCATCTCTTCCTATGTTTAAGAATGATATTTATTTCCTTTTCTCTGAATTCTTTACATGCTTTGCCCACGTTCCTACTGACTGAGTTGTTGAACTTTTACATATCGATTTGTAGATGTTCTTCATATATAAATAAATAAATTTATCATGATAAGATAAACAACATTTTTAGGATTTCTCATTTAACTAGTGACTTTATATACATTACATTTTTTAGGCTGAACTTTTTAATTTTTATGCACAAACTCATCAATCTTTACTTTTAAAGCTTCTGGGTTTTCTATCACACTTAAATAGGCTTTTCTGACTCAAGACCACAAAACAGAATCTCCTTTTTTTCCTCCTAGTACTTTTAGCATTTTGTTTTTTATTTTTAAATTCTTGATCCATCTAGAATTTATTCATTTATAGTAGATAAAATACAGATCCATCTTTATTCTCTTTTTAAATGACTACATAGTTGTCCCAATACCATATGTTCAAGGTAAATAATTTTCTTCTGCACTGGTAATAATTTAAGTTTACCTTAAGGCAGATAGAACCAGTCACTAACTAAGAAGATTGTTATAAAAGAAAGACTATATTAACGTACTGCACCTCATACTCTGATTCCAATGATACTTTATTCATTTTCAGTTTCTTTTCTAATTCAGGATCAATCTGTAGAAAAGAAAGAGGAACCATAAGTTATTTAAGTCTGTTAGATTCAATTTTCAATTCAAAAAGTTACAAAGGGGATAGCTGGGATGGTATGGCGGATTACAAACACACGGAAAAGTCTCCACCATCCATCCAATCACACGATGATAACTAATGTACCATCACTACCACCACAACTAACAACAGCTAAGATTTACTTATTAACATTGAGCCTGTGAGCTACCAGGAAGAGGTTCTTCAGCTTAGGAAGGTTGATTCCCAGGGTGCTGTCCAACTGGTTCCCCCGAAGCTCCAGTGTGTGCAGGCTGATCAGCTTTTGGGGGTCCAGACCTGTCACCATGTGGATGCGGTTTCCTGAGGAGCAGGAGGGTGTCAAGAGCTCAAAGCGCCACTCCGAATGTTCAGCAGTACAGCCTGAACTTTGGGAGACTCTGCATCATATCCTCTCCCTCTAATGCCAGGTGGATATGAGGAGGGACAGCTCCAGACTTAACACTTTTGGGGCCCTGGGGCAAGTGGTCTGGTAGTCCAAGGGGCTGATGGTCACCTCCCCATCAGCCAGGCATTTTGTTATGTGCCAGGCATTTTGACGTTTATTATCTCTTAATCCTCACAAAAACCTATGAGATAAGTATTATGATCACAGGTAAGGACAATGGGACACAGGGAGTTTGAATAACTTGTCAAAAAGGCAGAAGTTGGCTTTCAACTTTGGCTCTCTGCCTCCAGGTCCATGCTATTAACCACCATCCTAAATGGTGTTTTTACAGAGAAATGATATAAAAATACTAATAAATATAATGCTGCTCTTGAAAACAAAAAAGAACAACTCCCATATACCAGAAAGAAAGAAGTATCTAAGAAAAAATAAGACAAGATTCCATAGTGGTAAACAGGAGCTGATGCCATGTTAGCTATCTGTGGCAAAGTCTTTAGGAAAGAAGAAAGTGATTGCTGAAATTAATAAACAAACAACAAAACCCAAATTAAAATAAATGAATAGCAGAATAGGGACTGAACACAGCTTAAGACCAAATTAGTACACTAGAAATACAACCTAAGGATTCCACTAGAATGACGCATTCTACAATGAAGCATTCTGGAAAGCACTGGGATGAATGAAAGAAAAAGTATATTATGAAAGCTAGATCCAAAAGTTCTAACATATGTCTGTTAGGGGTTTTAGAATTAGAATACAAAGAGCATGGAGGAAGGGCAATAATTAAATAATTCATCAGTAATTAAATATATAATATAGAGAGAGGACATGAGTTATCAGATTGAAAAAACACAATAAAAACCACAACAAAACAAAAAGAGCCCATTCTCAATCAAGTAATAGTAAAACTTTAGAAGATCAAGGATAAAAAGAAAATCTCGAAAGCAAAAAGAATGAAAAGACCTTACGAAAGGACAAGAATTAGAAAAAAAGACTGCTCACAAGCAACCTCAAATGCTAAAATGAGATGAAATTATATCTATGTTGATATTGAGAGAGGATTACTTTGAATCTCAATTTTATGTTTACTATTTTCTCTTTTCTTCTTTAATGGCTTCTAATTGATTTTTTCTCAATCACTGTTTTGAGAGGTAGAAATATATACAAACATATCAATAATCCCAGTAAATGCTGAATTAATCTATTAATAGAGATTTTCTGACTGAAATTTTTAGAAATCCAGCTATACACTACTTACAAGAAATGCACAAACAAAAAAAAAAGAAAGCACAAGGTTGAAGGTAGAGGGTTACAAAAACGATATACCACAAAAAAAAACCTAGTGGGGGTAGGGAAATCAATAAATAGCAACATTTATAATGGACAAAACAGAATTCAAGGCAAATAGCATCAAAAGGTAATATTTTATATTGATAAATGAAGCAATTTTTCAAGAAGATATTAGAACTATAAAATATTATGTGACTACACTGTTTTGAAATTTACATAGCAAAATGCATAAAAATATAAGAAACAAATACACAAAACATACTAGAAGAGCTTAACACACCTTTCCCAGTAACTAATAGATTAAGCAGATTATAATCATGATTATTGAAGATATGAGTAAAATAATTAACAAGCTTTTTCTAATAGGTATATATAGAATTTTGAGCCCAGCAAATTTAGATTGCCATTTCCCCTCAAATACACACGAGGTATTTATAAAATTAAACTTGTTCTGGGGCAGAAAGGAAAACTAGGCAAATTCACATGTAAAAAATATTGTCATACATACCATATTCACTGACTATAATTGATAACACTTAAAATCAATAGAAAAAAGATATTTGCAGGAAGAATCCCTATATACGAAAGCTGAAAGGTTTTAAAATACATTAACGTGTTAAAGAGGAAATCAAAGTGAAAATTAAGTACTTAGAAGTGAAAAGCTGCCTTGTTGAACTGTCTTTTTCATTCTAATAGTTTTAATCTTCGTAAGTAGACAAATTTCTTAGTAAACAACATTTCATCTGTGCATAATAATGACATTTTCATTTCTTTCTTTCTAAACTTCATACCATTTATTTCTTTTTGCTGTTTGATTATACAGGCTATGACCTCCAAAATAGTAGTAAAAGGTAGCTACAGCTATGGATATTCTTTTCTTGTTCCTAGCTTTAATGGGAATGCTTCTAATGTTTCTCTATTAGGAATATTTACTGGGCCTGGCCTGGTGGCATAATGGTTAAGTTCCTGCTCTCCACTGTGGCAGCCCAGGGTTCACAGGTTCGGATCCTGGGTGCGGACCTATGCACCGCTCATCAAGCCATGCTGTGGCGGCGTCCCACATACAAAATAGAGGAAGATGGGCACAGATGTTAGCTCACGGCTAATCTTCCTCAGCAAAAGATAAATAAATAAATAAAAGAATATTTACTATGAGCACAGTTAAGAGAATTCAACAAAGTGGCTAAATCAACACACAAAAATCAAAGTGCATAAATCCACATACAAAATCAATAGGGTTTCTTTACTCAAGTAAACACCAATTAGAAAATGTAAGAGAAAGAGGAATACATAACCAGAATAGTGTTATCTACTTAAAAAATTGAATTTACAGCTAAAAACATTCTGAAAAAGAAAACTTGAGGCCCAGATAGTTTCACTGGCAAATTCCATAAGATATTTAAAGAAGTAACACCAATTCTACACAATCTCTTACAGAAAATAAAAAAAAGAAGGAACACTTCCCAACTCATGTTATGAAGCCAGCATTATACTGATACCAAAACCAGACTGTTGGGGAGGAAAAATTTTCCCTTTTTCCCTTCTAGGTTCATTGTTTGGCCTAATAATTAAATTGACGTGGGGGCTGGCTCCATGGCTTAGCAGTTAAATGCGCGCGCTCTGCTACTGGTGGCCTGGGTTCGGATCCCAGGCGTGCACCGATGCACCGCTTGTCCGGCCATGCTGAGGTGGTGTCCCACATACAGAAACTAGAAGGATGTGCAACTATGACATACAACTATCTACTGGGGCTTTGGGGAGAAAAAGGGGGAAAAAAAAAAAAGGAGGAAGATTGGCAATAGACATTAGCTCAGGGCTGGTCTTCCTCAGCAAAAAGAGGAGGACTGGCATGGATGTTAGCTCAGGGCTGATCTGCCTCACAAAAAAAAAAAAAAACAAGGTTTGGGGCTTAATCATAAAATAAATAAATAAATAAATTGACGTAAGACAGATTAACAGGAGAAAAACAAATTTAATTATGTATGTATGGGAGCCCCACAAAGACACGAGAGTCACAGGCAGTCAGGCAATTGAGGCTTATATACCATCCTGAGCTGAGGAGAAAGGGAGTAGAGGTCTTGGGTTCCAAAACGGAGGAAGACAATTCACAGGAAGATGAGAAGAACAAATGTTTGGTAAACAAATGTTTGCCATGCCATGCAGATAAGTCTTTCTCATATACAAGGTTATCTTTGGGGGCTAGCCTTGTGGCACCGTGGTTAAGTTTGGTGCACTCACTTCGGCAGCCTGGGTTCACGGGTTCAGATCCCAGGTGCGGACCTACACCACTCATCAGTCATGCTGTGGTTGTGACCTACATAACAAAACAGAGGAAGACTGGCACAGATGTTAGCTCAGGACAAATCTCCCTTAAGCAAAAAGAAGAGGAAGATTGGTAACAGATGTTAGCTCAGGGCCAAGCTTCCTCAGCAAAAAAAAAACAAAACAAATGTTGTCTCTGGTAATAGCTTTCTTCCTGGCACAGGCCTCCTATCTAAATTCTTTTAGCAGTTAATGGAGGGGTAAAAAGCTTTTCCTGAGCCTGCTGGGTCTTAACTGCCTTTAGCTCAAAACAATCCAAATGCCAAAGTGGCACTTTCTGGGGTAGCACATTCTGCTCCCCCTCAAGACCAAGACAGTAGAAGGGAAAAACAAAAACTACAGAACACAATAATCTCTAGTATAACCTCTACTGGAAGAATAAAAGTATAGCCTCCAAACTAACAGAACTACAACAAAATAATAAAGTATTAGTAATCCAAAAGAGGACCTAAAAAAAGAGAAAAAGAAATAATTGCAACAAATAGTACATAAAAAGAAGGTATATTTAAACCCAAATATATAAAAAATTACATAAAAAGGTATATTTAAACCCAAATATATTAAAAAATTACATTAAATGATCCCATTAAAAACCAAGACTATTAAAAACATACATTCTGTTTGTAAGAGATACATGTAAAAACTTAAGTTTACAGAAAGGCTGAGATTAAAAAGAAAGCTAGTGAAGCCATACTAATATCCAACAAAATAGGCTTTAAGGGGAAAAAGCATTATTGGCAAACAAAGCTTCATTATAATAAAAATTCAATTCACCAGGAAGATGTAACAATTCTGAACTTATATGCACCATTAAATATCATGGTGAAATAGACAGAGTCACAATGAGAGATGTTAACACAATTCTCTCAGTAACAGAACAGATTTAAAAAGTCAACAGTACAGAAAATTGGAAAAACACAAATAACAAACTTGACCAAATGGATACATAAACTTTTATTACGTACCCAACAACTGCAAAATATACATTTTTTTCAAGCACACATCATTTATACAAACTGATCATGTGTTGGGTCTTAAAGCAAGTCTCAACAAATATGAAAAGAATGAACTCAAAAATATTTCTTTGATCACAATGCACTTAAGTTAGAAATCAACAAAAAATACTAACTAGAAAATCCCATGTTTATAAATTAAGGAAAAATATTTCTAAACAGTGATGGGGTTCAGGGTAGGCCACCCCAACATGTGCCACTCTGGTATGCAGATTATTTCGAGCTGAAGACAATAAAGACTCAGAAGACTCAGAAAGAAACTTTGACACCCCCACCACCACCACTAACTGCCTAAAAGGGTTTAAGATAGAAGGCCTGTCCCCAGGACAGGCCATCACCATAGATAACTCTGGGTATCAACAGACTGGGAGGGTCCCTGCCCAGCCCATTCTTAATCAAAGTTCTGTTTACCAAACATTTACATTTGTAAGGGAAATCTCCATTTGTAAAGGTATCTGCCTCTCTGTACTGGGAAGAAGGGGGGGATGACCTTATCTCTAGAAACTCTTATCAGTGCAGAAGGCAAGGACTCAAATCTGCATATTCTTGTTTACTGTGCTTTTCTGGTAGTCTCCCATAGCTGACTTCCCCCACTCCCAACATCCTCCTTTGTCTTTACCTGAATATGCTATTTAAGATGAGCACCTCTGCCATTTTGTCAAGTTACCCAGTTTTTCCAGGTCTCTCCCATGTATACATGTTATAAAGCTTTGTTTGGTTTTCTCCTGCTATTCGGTCTCATGTCAATTTAATTTGTAGCCCAGCTAGAAAGGATCCAGAGTGGGTAGAGGATAGTCTTCCTCCTCCTCAATAACTCATGCATAAACGAAAATTTTTTAAAAACTGAATGATTATGAACATACTACATATTAAAACTTGCATGACACAGCTATGGCCATACTTAAAAAGAAATTCTTCAGCTTACAAGCATATATTACAAAAGAAAATGGAAAGGGAAGGAGTGAAGAATCTGCCTCATAAAGTTAAAAAAAAAAGAAAAGTAACCCACAGGAAAAAGTAAATAAAGAACAAAAATTAATTAATGGTAAAACAAATGCATGACAGAAGAATCAACAAAGCCAAAAGCTGTTGATCAATCTCAGGTGAAACTGACTTAGAAGAAAGACAAGTCACAAAAAGAGTATTCAAAATGAAAAGGGTATCAACATAAATTCTATGTGCAATAAATACATCCTGGGATAACATGAATAACTTTATGCCAACAAACTTGAAATTTTAGACAAAATGGACAAATTCATAGAAAAATACAACTTTCCAACACTAACAGAAGAAGAATAAACAATTTGAATAGTATTATAACCTATAAAGAGTTGAATCTGTAATTAAAAACCTCACACAAAGAAAACTCCAGGTTCAGATGGCTTTACCAGTGGATTCTACTAAGGAAGAAATAATACCAATGTAACAAAAAATCTTCTAGTTATGTGGTGAGCATAACCTTGATATCAAAACTTGAAAAGACAGTAAGAGAAAAGAATAGGCCAATTTCACTAACGCGGAATTCCTAAAGAAAACACTATAACAAGAATTCAGCAATGTACCAAAAACACACCACACCATGATCAACTGAGTTCATTTCAGGAATGCAAAGTTAACTTGAAAACCACAGTGTAATTTGCAAACTAACCCAACAGAACACAGGCCTGAAACAGACTTATGACAAAATAGGCACAGAAGAGCAGGAAGAAAAAGATGTTATTGTCAGTAAATGGTGCTTGGACAACTTGTTACCTACATTAGGGAAAACATTCCTCCAACTGTGTGTTTTTCTCACACCACCAAGCAATTAACTCAATTCCGCAATTAACTCAATTCCGACACTATCTACCTGGAGATAGTGTCAGATTCCACAGGTTAAGGGCTCAGTCCTATAAGACCGCCCCCTCCCCCAACTTCAGACACCTGTACTGTTGTCACCCGTACTTCTGACTGATTGGCTATAGATTGGAGGTTCCAATGCCCTCTCCTCAGGTTCAATTAATTTGCTACAGTGGTTCACAGAACTCAGAGAAACATTTTACTTACTGGATTACCAGTTTATTATAAAAGGTATAACCCAGGTACAGCCAGAGGGAAGAGATGCATAGGGCCAGGTATGGAGAGAGGGCTTGGAGCTTCCATGCTCTCTCCGAGTGGGCCACTCTCCTGGCACCTCCACGTGATCACCAACCAGGAAGCTGTCGGAACCCTATCCTTTTGGGTTTTTATGGAGGCTTCATTACATAGGCACAATTGATTACATTATCGTCATCGGCAATTGCTTTTACCTCCAGTCCCACTTCCTTCCCTGGAGGTCAGGGGGTGGGACTGAAAGCTTTAACCTTCTGATCACATGGTTGACTCCCCTGGCAACCAGCTCCCATCTTTAGGTTACCCAGGGACATTCCAAAAGTCACCTCGTTAACATAACAAAAGACACCTTGATTGCTCTCATCACTTAGGAAATTTCAAGGGTTTTAGGAGCTCCCTGCCAAGAATAACCACATACATATTTCTTATAAATCACAATATCACAATTCCTCATACCATATACAAAAAAATCAATTCCAGATGGAATGTAGACCCAAATATAAAAGGCAAAAACAAAGTTTTTAGCAATAACATAGAAAAATGTTTATATTTTAGAGTAATAATTTTTCATAAAAAGACAAAAAGAAAAAGTAACCATAAAGTAAAAAAGGAATAAAATAGACTACATTAAACTTAAGAAAATTTGTTCATCAAAAGATACCATTAAGAGGGAAGACTAAAAGGTTTATAATCTGGCATGTATAAAGAAATCTTATAAAACAAAAAGAAAAAAACCAACATCCCAGTAAAAAAAAAAAAAGAGCAACCAAGACCTGAAACATCACAATAGAGGATACACAAAAAAGGAAACATAAATGACCAACAGACATATGAAAAGTGATCAACCTCATTAGTCACCAAGAAAAATTCAAATTCAAGAAATAACTAGATAATTTATAACACATACACCAAAATAGTCTAAAAAAAAACCACTCTAGAATACCAAGTATTGTTACCGCACAAGTGGGGTTCTCTGCCCGGTGTACATTAAAAAACCCCAATTATTAAGGCATCAGCTTTTGAGAAAAGGCTTTAGTGTGAGGTTGACCTGCAAGGAGACAAGAGGCAAAAGTTCTCAGATCTGTCTCCCTGATTCAGTATTTGAGGTGAAATTTAAGAGGTTAGGGAGAACAGCTGGTACGTGGAGATGCTGGTGGGGCAGGTTTTGATTGGAGTGCTTTAGACATTTATGGTAAGGTGTGGAAGGGCTTTAACACCAGACCTTCCTAGACAATGGACCCCTCGCCTCTGATGAAAGTCTGACTTTCAAGTTCCGATCATGTCCCAGTCCTTTGGTTCCATATGGAATCTTTAGTTCCAGTGTCATTTCAGGTCAAGATGTCCTCTTCTGTGCATGCTCTGGCTATGTGACTTTCCAAATTTTCTGAAAAACAACTCTTAATCACTTTGTTGATAAGAGTTGGGGTCCATTCAAACTGGTCCTAGTGGGCCTGTGGTTACAGTATTGGCAAGTATTTGGAACCTTGGGAAGAATAAACTATGGGCAGTGTAGATTGTGAAGGGGAGCAGAATATGACACCCCAAAATATGCTCCTTTAGCATAAGGATTATCTTGAGCTGGTTGTTTAAGAAACAGCAGACAGAGGAGAAGCTCTGAGAACCAGTAGAAGTTACCCTTTTGTAAGGGACATGTACATTTATAGAGGAAATCTCTATTTGTAAGGGTGTCTACCTCTCTGTACAGAGAATGATGACTCTAAATCACAAGAAACTCTTATTAATGAGAAGGCACCCACTTAAATCTACATAACAATCTTACCCTATTTACCGTGCTTTTACTGTTTTACTGGTAACTTCCCATAACTGGCTCCCCCAACCCCCAACATCCCTCTTTTGTCTTGAGTTGAAGACGGTATTTAAGGTGACCGCTTGGGCCATTTTGGGGAGAGTTTTGCTCAGGTTTCTGGGTATCTCCCATGTATACAGGAGGTATACATGTTATTAAACTTCTGTTTGTTCTTCTCTTGTTAGCCTTTTCTTACAGGGAGTTCTTAGCCAAGAATCTAGAAGGGTAAAGGGAAAATTATTTTTCCTCCCCTACAATTGATTCATTGACTCTGAAAAAGAGTTTGGAAATTTTCAAATAAAGGTCAAGTATGATACACATACCCTATAACCTAACAATTTCTTTTTTGTACATGTGCAATGAGAGAAATATGGAAAATATGTTCTGTTAAAGAGAAAACCACCAGCCCAAAACAGCATCACTCATGCTAAAGCCCACAATACCAAACCTAGGTTTAACACATAACTTAATTGCAGTTTCAACCTCTCCAAGAAATGCAAATCTTAATCAACAAATCTGGAATTTTCCAGTCAGCACCAATGGAATAATCTGTCACGTAGGCCCTCTTGATCCCCCAGAGAAAGAAGAGGCAATCTACAAGATAAAACCCTTGCCTGTCCCTTCTCTGCAAAAAAGAACATGTCCTGGCCTAAAAATAATCCTTTCTTTTCTTTTGCTAATAGCTCCCTTGACCCTATTCTTCCTATAAAAACCTTCTATTTTGTACAACCCCCTGGAGTGGCCTTCTAATTGTAGATGGGATGCTGCCTGATTCATGAATTGTTTAATAAAGCCAATTAGATCTTCAAATTTACTCGGCTGAATTTTATTTAACAGATTATAGCAGCATTATTTTCACTAGCCAAAACTGGACATCAACCAAATGTCTATCAACAGTAAAATGGACAAATTATGGTATATTTAATGGAATACAATATAGTAATGAAGAAATCAGGGGGTCGGCAAGCATGGCCCATGGACCAAATCCAGTTTAACACCCGTTTTTGTAAATAAAGTTTTATTTGAACACAGCCATGCTCATTTGTTTATGTTTGTCTACACTGCTTTCATGCTACAATAGTAGAGTTGAGTAGTTGTAAAAGAGTCTATAGCTCACAAAGCCTAAAACAGTTACTATCTGGCTCCTTACAAGAAAAGCTTGTTGACGCCTGAATTTAGAGCTAAAACATAGGTGAATTTCACACACATAATATTGAAAAAAAAGTCAGACAATCAACCAAATGATAAGGCAACAGACTGAATGGGAGAAAATAATTACAAGTCATATATCTGATAAGGATATCTGTTAATATCCAAATTATATAAAGAACTCATACAACTCAATAGCAAAAAAACAAACAATCCAATAAAAAAAATGGGCAGAGGATCTGAATAAACATTTTTCCAAAGACATACAGATGGCCAACAAGTACATGAAAAAATGCTTGAACATGACTAATCATCAGGGAAATGCAAATCAAAACCACAATGATACGTCACCTCACACATGTCAGAATGGCTATTATCAAAAAGACAAGAAATAACAAACAAGAGTTGGTGAGGATGTAGAGAAAAGGGAAGCCTTGTGCACTGTTGGTAGGAGTGTAAATTGGTGCAGCCACTATGGAAAACAGTATGGAGGTACTTCAAAAAATTAAAAATAGAACTAATATATGATCCAGCAATTCCATTTCTGGATATTTATCTGAAGAAAACAAAAACAGCAACTCAAAAAAAGATAAACGCGCCCGCATGTTCACTGCAGCATTATTTACAATAGCCAAAATATGGAAACAACCTAAGTGTCCATTGATGGATGGATGGATAAAGAATATCTGGTATATATATACAATGGAATATTCTTCAGTCATAAAAAAGAATGAAATCCTGCCATTTGTGACAACATGATGGACTTTGAGGGCAGTACGTTAAGTGAAATAAGTCAGAGAGAGAAAGACAAATATTGTATCATCTCACTTACATGTGGAATCTTAAAAAAAAAACAACAACAAAAACTGAGCTCATGGATACTGAGCTCACAGACACAGATTGCTGACTGCCAGAAGCTGGCGGTGGGGAAACAGGTGAAGGGGGTCAAAAGCTACAAACTTCCAGTCATAAAATAAATAAGTCATGAGGAAGTAATGTACAGCATGGCAGCTATAGTTAATAACACTGTACTGTATATTTGAAAGTTACTAAGAGAGTAAATCTTAAAAGTTCTCATCACAAGAAAAAAAAATTTTTTTAACTGTGTATGTGATAAATGTTAACTAGACATTGTGGTGATCGTCTTGCAATATATACAAATATTGAATCATTAGGTTGTACACCTAAAACTAATGTTATATATAAATTACACCTCAAAAAAAAGGAAGACAAGGGGCCGGCCCAATGGTGGAAGTGGTTGGGTGCACGCACTCCGCTGTGGCGGCCTGGGGTTCGCTGGTTCGGATCCTGGGTGCGCACTGACGAACTGCTTGTCAGGCCATGCTGTGGCGACATCCTATGTAGAGTGGAGGAAGATGGGCATGGATGTTGGCCCAGGGCCAGTCTTCCTCAGCAAAAAGAGGAGGATTGGCAGATGTTAGCTCAGGGCCAGTCTTCCTCACCAAAAAAAAAAAAAAAGGAAGACAAAAGAATATGTATGATTTCACTGATACAAAATTCAAAGCAAAGAAAATTAACTATAGTGTTTTGGGATGTATTCTGAAATAGTAAAAGCAATGAAGTAATTACTATAAAAAGCATGGTAATGCTTATCCTTGGGGCAAGAAGAGGGCATGGAGAGAGGAGCATGCTTGAGTGCTAATAATTTTCTACTTCTTGACATTGACAGTCGCTATCTGGGTGTTCAGTTTATAATAATTCATTATTGTTCATGTATTTTGAATGCGCTCCTTGATTTCTGTACTATATTTCACAATCAAAGAAATGAAATAATGAATTACTATATTAATCATTGAATGTATGTAAAGGGAATAAAACCTAAAACACAAGTTAACTCCTTCATATGGTTTCAACTGAGAATATGGCAAATAACCAAATGCTGGTGGGGGAAAAAAACTGGTTATACTATTGAGAGATGATATGTCTGTACTTTGCGTGATTTTAAAGCGATTTTCAGTGCTGATTTTTGATAGTGTGCAATTGTACAATTCCTGCCTTACTAGCATACATTTAACCAAACCCCTATACCACTCTATTGTATAACATTTTGATAAACCATTTTCCTGTGCCTTCATTTTCTGTACAAAATAGGATTACAAATGTGTCCAATGATGTCAAAGTAATTTGCAAAATCAAAAACCACCGCCACCAAAAAAACCACTACCTGCAGTCTCTTGGGGTTTAAGAGGTTAAGACCCACCAGGGGAAGGGTGCCACAGGAGCTGAGAGTTGAAAGCCCATTTCTGCCCTGGGTACACTTGCCAAATCTGAAACAGCTACAGGATAAGAATCAAGGCTTGAAACGAAGCTGCTCCTGGGAGTTAGAGAAACCATCACACAGGACTATAGTGACAAAAAGACAGATCAAGGGTCTTAAATATCCAACATGGATCCCACTGAGAATACACCCTAAATTCTGAAACTGCATAAGGCAAGAGTATACAACAAGGCTGGAAATCGCTGAAAAGTAAAGCTGAATTTCCTGGAGTCCCAATAGAAAGCCACGTAGGGTCATGCCCTAGGAATAGGGAAAAAGCAGAGATGCCTAAACTGCAGTCAAGCCATGAGCTGGCTCCCTCCTGGAGAGGGTCAGCCTCCTACTCTACCTGCCTAGCAGAAAAAAGGATAAACCCTTTTTGGAGGCAAACAATACCATCTGGAATCTCTACAGTTGTTTACAAACATCTAATATTTAATTAAAAAAAAATTACAAGCCACGTTCCAAGACAGAACTACATAACAGGGCTGGCCCCGTGGCTTAGCGGTTAAGTGTGCGCGCTCCGCTGCTGGTGGCCCAGGTTCGGATCCCGGGCGCTCACGGACGCACCGCTTCTCCGGCCATGCTGAGGCCGCGTCCCACATACAGCAACTAGAAGGATGTGCAGCTATGACATACAACTATCTACTGGGGCTTTGGGGGAAAAAAATAAATAAATAAATAAAATTATTAAAAAAAAAAAGACTACATAACAAAAAACCAAGAGAAAAAAATGAGACAATAAAAGCAGATCTATAGTTGATCTTTATGTTGGAGATAGGACTTTAAAGTAGCTATGATTCATACACATTCAAGATATTAAAGGAAAAAAATAAAAATATGACTTCATGGAAGATCTCGCCAGAATATTACAATATATAATTATGAATTAAATGTACATTTCAAAACTAAAAAATACTGTAACTGAAATCACAAAATCAACGGATGACTTTAATAAGAGATTGGACACAGCAAACGACAGGTTTAGTGATGACAAGTTAGAACAACGGAAAACATACAACTTAAAATTGAAAAGATGGGAGAAAAATAAAACATAAAAAAAGCATAACAGAAATGTTGGACATAGTTATAGAGTCTAATATACATCTGGATTGGAGTCCCATAAAGGAAGCAGACAGAAAATTGGGCAAAAGCAACATCTGACAAGATATCAACAATTTTTGGTTTTTGTTTCCCATGGTTTCACTAAAATCTTCAAAAAAATCAGAAGACAATTTGAAACTTCATTTTCAAATCAGAGCACCTAAGAGCTAAGGTGAACATTTTTTGTAGCCATGATTCAGTTCCTCACTTGACTACTTAGAAAGCACCACCCTTGGTAAGATTTAATAGAATCAGCTCTATACTGTAGGGGGTCAACGCACCTGCTGCCAAAATTTCCTCTTCTGTTTGCCCACAGGATTTAGTTCTAACCTCTGAATCAGAAAAATGTAACTTGACTCAGTTTCATAGACCAATCAAGGGAACAGCATGATAATGCATGTTCTCGTTAGTGTGGTATGCACGACTAAGTCAGCAGCTGCTATTTTCAACTGAGCACTGGTGTTTTCTGGGGAGATGAGTAAACTTTTGATTGATTTCCAAGTACCTGCCTGTCTCATTCTGGACCTGTGAGATTCAGTCTCCCTTCATATGTGTTTTCACATCCCCGTCTCCACCATGCCCAACCTCACGTTCTTTTCTGCATATTTTGCAATATGTTCTGTTTGGGTGATTTAACTCCCTAATCCAGTTGTATGTGTCCTTCCATCTGTCATTAAAATAACATAGTCACTTAGCTTTCTTTTTCAGTGATGTCTGGATCATACTGGCATTAGTATTGTAACTGTTCTCATTTTCATTATCTGAATCTTAGAAAACATGGTCATGGTACTTACAATGTTAAAAATTAAACCAGCACAATTTTCCTTACAAAGTACAACAGACAAGCAAAGTCAAAAAAAAAAAAAAGACTGTTAATACCCAGGATTAAGATGCACTTAACTGCACACTTAAGTCACATCACTTGGAGTGATGCAACAATGGATGCTCTATTATTGTGGATCCATGGTCATCAGCATTAGGAGGCAGGAGGAAAAAGAGCAACGGCCACTCAGGAAGGCAGAGAAACTGTCATATCTATTTCACACTAAAACTAAAAGGTACTGGTGTCAGCTTATTTTTTTAGCCTACCTCATGAGTTCTGTACTTTTCTTTCAACCTTGCACAACCATGACTGAAAAGCAGGAATTCTTGTGTCCGGGGATGCCAGACTTTCAGTCCTAAAATCAGGACAGTTTCAGGCAAACTAAGATGTCTGGTCACTCGGAATCAATACTGTCTTTTTCCACCCTTCTCAAAACTTCTCAACTGAACTTATCCTTTCTTGGTCCTTCTCAACTGGATCTGTCCTCTCAATGCCAGTTGTGAATCTTCCTGACCTCAGCAATCTTGCCCTCTTGGCTCACCCTTACTCTTGTTACCACCCAATGTGGGGCCTTCTGATCACCACAAGACATGCCCATAGTCAAGATGCAAGGTGGTAGGAGAAAAAGGACTTTTTTATTACAGCTTGCTAGCACAAGGGAAGAAGGCTGACTCATGTCCAAAAGAACCATCTTAAGGGGGCACGAAATCTTACAGCAGTTATATAGGCCATTGGGTTACTGGGGAAGGGGTCAGGAATGTTGACCTTCTGGTGTTACAGACTAGGAGTGCCACACCAGATCTTTCAGTTTTCACTGATGATCGCTATCAGCATAGACTCACTGTTCGGGTGTCATCACATTCCTAAGGAACTCATAAAAACGAAGTTATCATCTTATCGCAGCTGGGAGCTACATGCAGAAGCAGGGGTCGTAAAATCTACAGAGCAGTTAGATCTCCTAGAGGGTGCATATCCAGCTGGGTTAGTTTGTCAGAGGTCATCCAAAGTTACCACAGAGTTTTTCTTTTCTACAATATGGCTTCCCTTATGTCAACCTTGTCTTGAGCCGGTATCACTCTCACCTCTCAACCCTTATCAACCTCAACCAGTGTTAACCTCTCACTCCCTCTCAGATTTAGTCCACCTCATCCTCTCTACCTTGTTTGAACTCAACGTCATCCAAATGCTGACTCTTGACTTCACCTGAGTTTGACTTCTCAACATCAACCAACCTGGACCTCTCAACCTCAGTAGGTCTTGTCCTCTGATGTTTCTCACCTGAACTCTGTCCTCTCAGCCTCCTTCCACAGACCCTGACCAACTTCCATCCTCTCAACTTTGTTCTCTCAACTTCAATGAACCTCATTCTCTCAACTTCACCTAACTCTGTTCTCTTTGACTCCATCTTCTAGACCTTTCCTGTTATCACAATCTTCCTCAATCTCTCTCCTTAACTGAGTGATTAACACCACCATTTATCTAGTTCTCAAAACCAAAACTTCAGGCTGAGACTTATTCATATTTTTATATTATAATCATCACATTAGTCATCAAATACTATCAGTTTGCTGCTAAAAGTTTTCCTGGAACCCATTCATTTTTATCTTCATTGCAAATGTTTTATTTTAGGTTCCATTTTTGTTCATCTATACTACTGCCAAAGCGTCCTAACAGGTCTCTTCATCTCCAATTGAAGCAATCTCTTCCCTCCTATTGCTCCCCCAATCCCCAACCACCCTGTACTCCACTGCCAGAGATATTTCTAAATTGAAAATCTGACCATATGCCTAATACTCCCTCTAGTTTATAGAATATTAATCATATCTACCATTTAGCTAACTCTTACTCATTCTTAAAGCCTTAATCAAAGGTTGATACCTCTAGCAAACCTTCTCTGATACCCGCCTCTCAAGTCTAAACTGTATGCCTCTCCTGGAAGTTCTAGTAATGTTTTATGCAAAATTCTAATATAGCATTTTACTGGGCATTGTTATATTTTTGGGTACATTTTTATATTAGATGTCTTCCAGCCTTGATTATGCTAGAAGCTTTGTAAGAACCAGTTTCTTGAAACTTTATCTGTAGGCTCTAACACACGACAAATATTCAATTATTTTTCAAATATGTACCTGTTGTTTCACTTCCAAAAGTCAGATTATTATAATTTTCATCTTAAAGGGAAAGCGAAAAATTCCTTAATAAAATAATTGGAATGCTAACAGAAGCTTCTTAACACAATTGATAACTGCTCTATTCCCTCATACAACTATATATTCATTTTAAATGTAATATTTACTCTAATACCTGCCATCTTTAAGACTAGCTGGAGTTGGTGTTTCTCTTAAACCCTAAAATTAACTGAGAAAACTGAATAGGCCTTTAATACTCTTTACTTTCCCTCCAATATTGCTGCGGTCTGCTAATGAAATATATATATTTCATTATATATATACACATATAGAAAAAGCCTCAAATATCAGATGTGCCCCACAAACAAAAACTACACACTTCCGAAGGGATTAACCAGAGTTCTTACATAACACTTGGCCTGAATCTGACAGTAATCATGTAATCACAGAGAGTGGGAATCCTAGCTCTACCTCTAAGTAACCACGTGTCCTTAGGCAAGTTACTTAAACTCTCTGAGCCTCCATTTCCTCACCTGTAAAAGTGAGACAATAATATATATACATAAGGAATTAGTATAGTCTTACCCAAAGGCATACCTATAAAAAGATAGGTATCATTATAATGAAAAATAATTTTCCTTTCTTTTAGTATTAGTTACTAAAGATACATATCAATATAACTTATAAAATTACTGGTATTAATATGAAATAGCCAATTTATAATTGGAGTCATAAAGTGGAGTGAAATTGTTGTCCCATGTTCTTTAGTCCCTTCTAAATCCTAAAAACAACTACACCAGAGCATATTTTGTCAGAGAAAGCTAACAGTATTGCAAATTTTCTAGTGAGTAAGGAGAAGGATTACTAAATTCTTTATACTTCATGATTCACTTCCATGTGATCATTACTGTTATTTTAAAGAATAAGAAGAGCCCAAAGATCATATATCAGTCTTGAATAGCAAGACAAATCTCAGACTGCTTAGTATACTCAATATACACGTCTCCTCAACCAAAACACACCTATACACAGACACACGTCAAACTCTAATTACAGTTCTTACTTTAATCTTCACAGCATCATAACGGATTTGTGAAAACTCACGAAGACCAAAAGAACCTCCAACAATCAGCAACTGAAACAAAGAAAGGAAACAATTAAACAAAATACAAGGGCAGAATTCAGTCTATCTATAGATTACTTCTCTAAATACCAACAGTGACAGATTATACAAAATCCTATAGATTATTTCCCCTGGTGAGTTACCATTCATCTGTTCAGAGTAGATGGAGTATATACTGTCACTGGGAAACATTATCAACTACCAAAATCAGTACCCCATATCTGTACTCGACCTTATGGTTTAAATAACATCATCACAAGCATTTCATTAGTTGATCCTTACAAAAGACCTATGAGCTAAGGGAAAAAAAAACATTTAATAGATGAGGAAACTGAAGGACAGCCAACTAAACAACTTGCCCATGATTACACTGGGTAGAGCCAGGAATAAAATGCTGGCCTTGTTTCTTTAAGATCAGAATTCTTTCAATTTTATGATTTTGCAAAATAAGCCAATTGTACAGCATTTTTTCCATTTTCTTACCAAGTGAAAAGAGAATCTCATGAAATATGCCACACTTCTCAATATGTGGTAAACCTTAAAAGATCCCTTGAATTGTCATTGCTGTTTTATCATCTCCTCTAATAATCTAATGGGCTTTCATCCCTCATCTTAAAGCTGCAAAAGTCTAGCAATTTAGAAAAAAATAAAGTTTGATCCCCACCTTCCTTTTTATATCAACAATATTACAAATTAAAGAAATATAAAAAGATATAAAACATTGTACAATACAAAATTTTATAATTTTGAAGTTGGAATACTACAAAACCTTGAGGCTATGCATTTTTCAAAAGCCAATAAATCTGACCACATAAAAATTTTATGTGTCTATCCTGAAAAATAAATGAAAACAACATAAAATCAAAAGACAAAAAATCAGGCAAAATGTGTTACATATAAGCAGCTAATACCTGCAACGTCAACGTATAAGAATTCTTTGCGTAAGTAAAATAACTTCTGTCCCTTAGTTTCAATGAAAAGACACACCCCTGGTTTTCCTAATTCCTTCTCGGTCTCCTTTTATTCATTCTTCCTCACCTTCCCAACCTCAATATGTTGGAGTATCCCAAAAGGCTCAGTCTTCTCACCTCTTCTACCTACTGACAACCAACACTGAGTCCCTAGGTGACGTTATCCAGTTCTGTGGATGTAAATAGCCTCTATAACCTAATAACCTTCAAATGTACATTTTCAATGGAAAACATCCCACTGAACTAAAGACCTGCCCTCCTATTTGACATCTCCACTTGAAAGTCTAACAGGTATATACAAATTAATTTTTTTAAAAACTCTCTTGATTTTTGTACCCCAACACTCTTTCTGCCCCAACCTGCCCCTAACCAATCTTACACAGCCCCGTAAATGTCGATTCCTTTCACCCAATTACTCAAACCAACTTCTCTGGAGTCATCATTAGCTCCTCTCATTCCATCTCACAGCTAATCCATCCCTGAGTTCTGTCACCTCTACTTTCAAAATATTTCTTGAATCTGACAATTTCTGACCATATCCTCTTCTAATACTGTAGGCCAGGCCACCAACATCTCTTTCGTGGACTACTGAAATCACAGTACCCACATGTCACTATAAATAATAAAGAATTTGTCTGGTCTTTGTCCCAGGTTCCTGGGAGGGAGCTACTAACTTGGAATTTCCTGAGTGACAGAAGTATCTTTGCTATTCACAATGCGCCCCTGGGACCACATCTGAATTTATGCTAATGAGGTGACTCATGATGGGCCCCTAGATAGTTATAGGATAGAGGCTGACCACGCTGGAATGACCAACCTTGTGACTAGAGGGCTGGGGCTTTGAGCCACGCGATATCAACCTGACTTTCTGATGTCCAGGGAGGAGAGGAGGGCTATAGACTGAGTTCAGTCACACAGCCAATGATTCAACCAACCATACCCAGAAAATGAAACCCCAATAAAAAACTCTGGACACTGAAGCTTGGTTGAGCTTCCTGGTTGGTGAACACATGAATGTGCTGGCAGGGTGGCATGCCCTGATTCCATGGGAAGAAAACATGGAAACTCTGCATTTGGGACGCTCCCACACCTTGCCCTATGGGTCCCTTCTTTTGGCTGTTCCTAATTTGCATCCTTTATAATAAAACTATAATCATAAGTATAGTGCTTTCCTGAGTTCTGTGTGTCATTCTAGTGAATTGTTGAACCTGAGGGCATAATAGGAAGCCTCGAATTTGTAACCAGTTGGTCAGAAGCACAGGTGCCCTAAGAATCTCAGAGCTTTCAGCTGGGGTCTAACGTAAGGGCAGTTCTATGGAGGACTGTGCCCTTAATCTGTGAAGTCTGCACTAATTCTCGGTAGTTAGCATCATAACTGCATTGCACCACCTAACACTCATTACTATAGTAGCTACACTCCTAACTAAATATCTTCACTTGTGCACTAGATCCCGTATCATCCTATCTACCAAAGGAAACTGCTTTGTCAATTCTCCCATTTCCCATATCATCAAAATCTTGCTCACTACTGCATGATTCATCGTAAAAAATGCTATTATTTCCCCCATCTTATTAACAAACTTCTCTAGACCTCACTTCCCCACCAGTTACAATCCTATTTCTTTGTTCCTATCTTCAGTAAAATTTCTCAAATGAGTTGTCTATGCTGGCTGCTCCTCCCACTCTCTTAGACCCATTCCAACCATCAATGACATCCATGTTACTAAATCCAATGGTTAAATTTCTGTTCTCATCTTATTTCACAAGCAAAATTTGACACAGTTGATCACACTTTCCTCCTCTTCCCGTAAACCTGGTTTTTCTTTCGCCTCACTGAGAATCCCTCCTAGTCTCCTTTTTTGGTTCCTCCTGTGCACCCCAACTCTCAAATGCTGGAGTATCCCAGGGCACAATGTTTGGTCTTCTCTGTCTACATTAACATCTTACGTGATCTCAATCAATCCTACATCTTTAAAAACATTTACACGTTGATTACTAACATTCCACTCCTAGAAGTGATGAAGCGAGCACCAGGTGAACAAAGCAGACCAAATCAGCACCGCAAGGGCTCTGGAGCCTAAATTATCATGGGAAAGAAAGCCCCAAATAGTAGGCTACTGCCTACAAGCTAAACCTAAGCATGGTGACTGCCTGCTAAAGTAGAAGACTTAATGAATTCAACATTTTCCTCTACAAAATTACTTATATGTTTAGGACCCATATTTTGAAACATGATGCCCTAGGTCCAGTATAGACATAGAGAGCAGTATAGAGTAACACACTTGGCAAGAAGGCTACTGTGGTACTTTCCATTCCATGAAATAAAACCAATGAGGAACCCCTAGAAGATACTTCAATAGTAGTTGTTTTAAGACCTTGACTTTGATGATTTTGAAAAGTAAGAAACAAAATCAAACTGGCTTCCATTGGGACAAGCAGGTGACTTCAAGTTAGTCACCACAATCACAATGCTTCTGAATGGACCTCCATTTGGGGGGCAGAGGAACCTGCAGAGGACAGTTTTTACACATGCTCTGTCATCTACACAAATATAATTACTACATTATCTTAAAAAGACAAAGTCTTCTTTAAACTTTTTAAAATACATATAAAAAGGAGTTTCCAAAGATTTTTTAAAAATCCAGATTCATCAAAGATGAGTAAAAAACTCATCACTTTTCTAAGGTTGCTTCTTCATTTACTCCTGCTTAAAAGCACAAGCTGGTAACTTCACCTGTACCAAAATCATACCAAATAAACTATTCTGTATTTTTTTAAATGGCATTTGTCCACATGATTTATTTAAATAGTTACATTTACTATGATATCAAGGCCTGCTGAAGCAAAACAACTTGTAAGTAAGGGGAACTGTCTGGCTGGATTCCAACTCTGGTTGGTGTTATGTCAACCTCAACCTGAATCTTCATGACGAATGGGATCTTCAGGGAACTCAGTGTGGGACTGGGCGCAAATATATACACACCAAAACTACTTTCAATGTGCTTTAAAAATATCAACTATAATTCAGCAACCTTTTGAGGGCTGCTACAATGTGGCAGGCGCCGTGCTAAACATTCAATTCACAAGGTTTTATTTAACTAATAACACCACCCTGGAAAAACGAAGCCAGCTCACAAATTAGGCACCTGAAACAGAGATGCCCGAAATTGTGGTTAAATTAAGTAAATACATCTAGTCTCGATGATCCCGACTACTGTCAAGCTGTGGCGGGGGAAACAAAGGCAAGCTTAGCAATCATCCAAATGTGGGTTAAAATCTGGTTCTGACACGGCTCTCTGAAGCACAGCCTGCTAACTAGCAGCGAAGGTAAGAGGGGAACTCGAGACCTCACTCCCGCGGCGAGAAGACTAGCAGGACCGCCTAACAGCTCTCGACCTACCGCCAGCCCCCTCCTGGCCCAGGCTGCTGGCCCTCGCCAGAGGTACGACTGACGCCCGCAGTTTCGATCAGCCAAACTTCAGGTCCCGCCCCTCACGGAAACCCGCCTCCACGCTTTTCCTCCCTGCACTCACCAACATGGGGACTCCGTAGCGAAGGGTCTTGTTCTTGCGCAAGGCGCGCTTCACCGCGTCTGCAAACATGACTGAACTCTCCGACCCGCTCGGACGCCCCGCCAAACGGGCCCAGCGCGGCCTCCCGAACCTCAGCGGCCCAATCCTCCTCCCAGGCGAGGACGTGCTGGACTCACCCCTCGCCTTAGCCTCCCGGTGCATGGTCCTGCCCTGATAGGCCTCCGCCAGGCAAAAGCAATCGATCCGTCGTAACGTACACGCGCGTCCGCCCGGAAATTGGAGTGTCAGCGCTTTGGTTCCGGTACGCTGGCTTGCCATCGGGACTTAGGGATTTAAGTCGTGTTGGTAGTCATCGTCAATTGATGTGGAAACGGTACGCCCCACGTTCTGGGTCTTGACCAGCATCTTCTTAGAACGCTTCTTTGCACACTGCCCCTCGATAAATCAGCTAAGGAAAAAGGGTTACTTGGGAGCTAGTACTTTAGCCTCTGTGGCTATTTGTAGCATGAGAAGTTTAGCAGCTTAATAAAGATTTTTAGAAATAAATTACCACGAAAGGTTAGTTTGAATGGTAATCAGTGTAGTGTCTTGCTGTCATTGAACCTTTAATGCTAGTGCTTTTACTGTGAAATAGCCAGTAATCTTTAGTCGTTTATGAATGCCTATTGTCCACTCATTTAACAACCATCTGGCAACACCTTTTTGAGGGTCATTAGAAGACTCGAGAAACACAGATGAAAAGATATCCTGCTTTAAAGAAGCTGGCAATCTATGGGCACACAAATGAACGTGTGTCTTAAGTACTGTGATAGTTTAGGAAGCAGCCCCTGTATGTGCCATCTGGCAGGGTGAGTCAGAGAATGCCTCACCTGTCACCTACTTTTTGAGATGAGATAATAGTACAGAGTGCAGGTGACATGGAGTAACATTTCCCTTGCTATCCCTGAAATCTTTCCATCTGTCTCTGCCTCTGTTGCCACTGAAATGTTCCTGGTTTAATCCCTTATCATCTTTCTACTTATCAAAGTCGCCCCTAAGTGGTCTCCAAAGGAGAAACTCCAGATCTACCTTTAGGCTGCTCCAATAACACCCAGATCAATAGGCCCACCGGGTCAAATATGAAACACAAAACAAAAACCCTTAATTGTAGTTCTCAAGTCCATCTTCCACACTGCTGAAAGTTATCTACCAGGCATAAACAATGATGAGATTCTCCCACCTTTTGCCTACAGTAGTCACTCTATTTTTCTTAAGCAAGGAATTTAAGGCCCTTTGTAATATGACCTTGGCCTGCATTTTCCGCCACTGTACCTCATTCATGCCATACTCCATCCTGGGGGAGATATTCCCTGAGTATTCCATGAACTTATACATCTTCAAAATGCGGCTTCACAGACACGAGTTTCTTGAAGCCTCCCTTACTCCACAGGCAATGTAAATTATTCCCTCCTCAGCAGTTGTAGTATGTAGGAGAATTTAGAATTGGAAGGATGGGCTTATAAACAGGGTTGCTATGGTTTATGAATAGGGTCTCCTTTAATGTTGTGATTTGTTTGTACTTTATTTAGATTGCTTGACTTATGCTTTTTGTTGTGTCTGTTTGTTTAATTCATCACGTTGCAGAGAAGGAACTATATAGGGCCACAGGATTTATTAGAGAATGCACTGTGAAGTATGCAAAATTTGTAGATGGCGTTGCCTCTCTCCTCATTCACTTCCTTTTGATATTTCAGAGCTTGTACAGCATCCACATTACTTAAGTGTATTATTTCTCCTACTTTCCCTCAGATCTGAGATGTCAAGGGCACTGTTCTAAAAGTCCAGACCTTTTCCTACCTTTTCATTATATACAACATCACCCTACTGAATTTGACTCCAATAAAGCCCTGCACTCAGCTATATATACATATTCTAGGTAATGCTATAGCTAATAATCTGTTACCTTTTCAGATAAAGCATATATTCAGTTTAAGTGAATATAGGTCTTCGTTCTCTCATTTGTTCAGTCTTTTTTCTTTTTTTTTTTTGTGAGGAGATCAGCCCTGTGCTAACATCTGCCAATCCTCCTCTTTTTTTTTAGGAAAACTGGCCATGGGCTAATATCCACGCCCATCTTCCTCTACTTTATTATGGGCGCCTGCCACAGCATGGCCTGACAAGCGGTGCGTTGGTGCGTGCCTGGGATCCGAACTGGCGAACCCCGGGCCGCGGCAGTGGAGCGTGCACACTTAACCACTTGCGCCACCAGGCTGGCCCCTGTTCAGTCTTTCAAATAAGCATTTATTGAGAAACTTGAGATGGCCCTAAAGGAGCAACTAAATAGTAAGAATTACAAGGATGCTGGAACATTGTCAGGGGACAAAATTTGGGGCAGTGAGGAATTTAAGCACCTACCAAATAATATATAAGTAGTAAACTCTATTGTCTATGATTAGTGCTCACCTTAAGCATCACTACTCTATACCTCAGTTTCTCTATCTGTTAAATCAGAGTAAGTGATATTTATCATTTTTACAATTCTCACAAAAAACACAAAAAAGCTCATCAGAAGGCTCTGTTGCCTTCTGAGAAATATGACTCAAATCCCATCTTTGAGGTTCCAGTGTTAATAAATAGTCAAAATGTTGACTCAGCCACCTTAACTATCACACTTCCAAGTGGGAGGATATAAAAATTTATATCCAGGAAACAAGGCATCTCCACCACCCATGTCAGTCCCTAAGGACTTGTATGTTCCTGATATCTAGCCAAGTTTTATTATCCTCCAGTATCTGCTCTACCATCACTTAAGTCATCCAAGTATATGGGAGCGTTGTTACCCAAATCACCAATCTTTAGAGCTTTAGCACTGAGTTTAGGTTTTAGAACTATGACCAAATTTGATGGCTATAGTATGGAAAGATTAGCTACTACGTGAATCTCTGTTTGGTTTCATAATTGACATCTAATATCTAATTTGATTCACTCAAAAACTTTATAAAGTTTGGAAGAGCATGATTCCAGACTCATTTTACAGGTGAGAAAATTGAGACTCTAAAAGGTTAAGAGGCTTGCACAAGGTCACACTTTGTGAAGTAGTACAAATGCCCCATATGGAACTAAACCTCCTGTAGCATTTGACAATATTGACCGTCTCCTTCTTGACATTCCCTCCTCCTGTGGCTTCCATGGATGTTTGGATCTCATGATCCTCTCCAACTTTGAGATGTCTTTTGTCTTCTTCAGCCTTGTAAACCTCAAACTGGAGTCCTTAGCCCTCTTCCATTTTTTTTTTTTTCTGTCCCAGTGATTTTCAAACTGTAGCGTGCACAGAATCCCTTGAAGAGCTTATTAAAACACAGGTTTCTGGGCCCCATCCCCAAAGTTTCTGATTCAGTAGGTCTGGGATAGAACCTGAAAAATGACTTTTTTCCCAGGTGATGCTACTGCTGGTGGTCTGGGGACTGCACTGTGAGAACCGCTGCTCCATCCTTTTTCCCTAGGTAAACTCAACTTTCACCTTGGCGTCAAATTTTATCACAGTGTGAATGACTTCTGGTACATTTCCAGTAGCTTAAATGGTTTTCTAACACCTCAAAGTCAACATGCCACAAAGATTTGTTTGTTTCTTTCTTTCTTTTTTGGTCCTTCCCTCCATTGTGTGTAATTTTTATGGCTAGAACTAGAGTGGCTAGGATTTTTTCAGTAAAGTTCAGTCCAAGTTGAAACCAGTTAAAATTAAATCCTTGAGGCTGGCCCAGTGGTGCAAGTGGTTAAGTGCGCTCGCTCTGCTGCGGCGGCCCGGAGTTGGCTGGTTCGGATCCCGGGCGCACACTGACGCACCGCTTGTCGAGCCATGCTGTGGCGGCGTCCCATATAAAGTGGAGGAAGAGGGGCATGGTTGTTAGCCCAGGGCCAGTCTTCCTCAGCAAAAAAAGAGGAGGATTGGCAGATGTTAGCTCCTGGCCAATCTTCCTCACACACACACACACAAAAATTAAATCCTTGACATTGTTCGGCTAGAGAATCAACTGTTTCTTCTTTGACACATTTCTCTTATAAGAGTGATCGTTAACATTATAGCTTTAGAATTATTCCTGTATTTATCCGATTACTTTTTTGGAGTATTAGCTATGGGATGAATGGGACCATGGTTAATACATTTCTGTCCTTCATGACTTCTTTTGTAGCCCTAAACCACAATCCATAGTTTTTGGAAAAACAAATGAAATGGCAACTGGAAAGGTGGAAGAGCTTCCCAGATCACGCTACGCAGAGAAGAATCCCCATTAGCGTTTCCTAAACCAAACAAAAACCCGCTCCATAACGCTTGGTAGAGAATTAAAGGTAACTCTTTTGTACAAATTAATGTAAACTCTTCTGTACAGATTAATGAAACCAAATGGAATTCCAAGCTAATTGCATTGTCTCAAAGTGCACTATTACCTAGATTACAACAAATTTTATCAGGTAGAGAGCAAATGAGGAAAACGTTAAGCTTCCAATTGCCACAGGACTAAAGCCCATCGGAAAGCTTTCTAAATATTGTCAATTAAGTTAACAAGGGCTTCCTTTTTGGGTAGGTGGATTTGTGCTTTTGTGATATGTCAAAGGTGAAACAGGATTTTATCTATTGAAATTTATGTTAAAAAAAACTTTGCAGAAAAACGTATATTTAAAAATGTAAGACAAATGTATGAATCCAGAGCAAGTAAAATGTACTTTTATCTCAAGATAAACTTTTTGAAAAGGAGACCATTAAAAAATGGCCTGTCTTGCGGGCCAGCCTGGTGGTGAAGTGGTTAAGTTTGCGCACTCCACTTTGGCAGCCACGTTTTACAGGTTCAGATCCTGGGCGCAGACCTACACACCACTTTTCAAGCCATGCAGTGGCAGGCGTCCCACATATAAAGCAGAGGAAGTTGGGCATGGATGTTAGCCCAGGGCCGATCTTCCTCAGCAAAAAAAAAAAGAGGAAGATTGGCAATAGACGTTAGCTCAGGGCCAATCTTCCTCAAAAAACAAAACCAAAAAAACAAAACAAAACAAAACAAATGGCTTGTCTGTATGTTTTGTTTTAAGTGCTTGAGTAACCACTGGTTGTCCACCAGTGGTTAAAAAAAAGTCAAATATCACTGTACATATAAAGGTTCCTATAAGTCAAAACAATGCACATCCAATAAAACTAGAACTTGACACCT